AACTGTAGGGAGGATTTTTCCTTTACCAGAAAAAAGGAAAAGGAGTCTTTGTTGAAAGGCAAGAAACAAACAAAGTGATTTTCACAGAGGCAGTGCCTGCAGTGCCCCAGTGTGCCAGATCAAAATCAGCCAGCAGGGCTGATGTTCTGCAGGCTGTGGACAAAACACACCCACCTGCTTCTAAAAGAGACACGGCAGACTCCAGCTTCATAATTATACATATAATCCGCCCACACAAAGTGTGGCTACCTGATGAGGAGCGAGAATGTGTGTTGCTGTGGGTGCGTCACGTCTCTGTTGGTTTGTGTGCATGCGCGCGCTCTGTGCTAACAAGAATACAGAACTGTATTCATGGAAACCTGGCTTCTGGCTTTTAAAGAATTCATTTTTCTTTTTTGTTTAACAAACAAATATGCCATTTGAAGAACAACAGTACAAACAATCACAAGAAAAAAAATTTCAAAATCTGCGTATGTCAGTTACATCTAAAAATCTGGAAACGAGCCGCACTAAAAATCCTGATTCTTCTGGTTTGTGTGTTTCTAATATACAATCAGCTGCTTTGAAGTGGTCAGACCTGAGGTATAAATGACAACCAGATATGCAGCGTGACAGAATAAGAAACAGACGCAACTTCTCTGCGGAGAGGTGCACGGCAATCGTATACAATTCTTTCCTTCCTGGTATCCCACCACATCGTGCACCGCCCAGTGACAGAACGGCGCATCCCGTGTCGTCTAATAAGTGAGGTTACAGTAGTTGTTTTGTTTGTTTTTTTGACATTTTTTTCTCTTTTTTATATCTTTGTCAGTCTTTCTCTCAGAAGAAAAAAAACCCAAATTGAATTACAACCGACCTAAAAAAAACAAACAAAGAGAAACTGATTAGCTCACATGAAGATGCAAAAAACAGTAAAAATAAATACATACATATTCATAAGATATAGCTTTTTTTCATTTTGAACATCATTAAGGACATTTTCCTGTGCGTGCTGCGTTTTTTTTGTTTTGTTTGGGAATACAGTGTCAAATGTTTAGGAAAAAAATCACAGCTCATAAAGGAAGGTTAACTTGTCCACCTGTCCCCCAATCTCCACTGCTGGGTCTCTGATTTCTCTGGGTTTGAGAAAGAAAAAGGACAAAATGTACCCTGGTCAGGTTTCATCCTGGAGTTCTGTTACACTTGGAAACAAACATATGTATATTTAAAAACACGTATTCCTTCTCAAACCAGGGTGGGACCAACCTGACTCACTGCCTCCAGGGTGAAACCAGATGACTGAATCTGTAAATGTTTAGAATTTTAGTAGGAAGAGGGTTTCACTCTCCCCATATAAGACCAACCTAAACCTGGGATAGCTGTATAGTCCCCTATGCTATAATGTTTTTTCGCAAATAAAAAAATACCTTAAAAGCGGTGGGTGGCAAGTATTGGTCAGTCAGACACTTGACGTGTCTTTTTTTGCAATGTGAAGGCAAAACAAAGAAGAAAAGCTTATAAAAGCGTAGAAACAGTGGAGGATACTGTATTTCCCAGAGTATCAACTACACCTTTGCCAAGCTCCCAGGTAAGGGATACGTGAAAGTACGAGGCACGGAAAGGAGTTCTGAGAATGAGGTATAGCACTTGGTCTCTACTGACCAAGTTAGCATGTTGTGTGTGAGCGCGTGCGTGCGTACACACGTCTACTAATTCAGTACAGGTAGTTAAGTCATGCGCCATTTTCCGACTGACAAATATTGCTGCCCATCCCACTGGCTCGATCCTGAGACATTTGTGGTATTAAAGGCTACTGAAAACGACTGTGTTTCCAATGACAGCAGCAGAAAGCAAAAGGAGAGAAAGCAACAGTCTGTTAAAAAAAAAATCAAGCATCTGCAGACTGCTGTTCGACGGATTCATGTCACTACATTCGTTTGTTATTCTGTCAGAATATAAATAGATAGACACGTAAGTGAGACTCGGTTGCAAGGAGGAGGACATTTTCGGACAGGGGGAGCGGTTAACCACATGACTATAAACAATCAACGAAACCCAAGAGAAAAAGAAACAAAATAAATATATGTGTATATATAAATGGCATGCACCTCAGTAGATAAGTTCAGGCTGAAAATGGGACTTGTACTTTTAGAAAGCAATGACAAATACAGAGCCAAAGCCAGCTGTAACATAACAGGTTCAAGAAAGGTCGAGAGGAAAGTTTTGTAGATGATTTAGTCACTTGAATAAATTATACAGCAGATATTGTTTGGCCCTCAAGGAATCGCCTCTCTCAGGGGATTTCAGTCAAAGTGCCAATTGAGTTAATTTATGCACACATGACGCCAATTACATAATGCATAAATGGGTTTTGTTTTTTTAAAAAAAAAACATATTACATGACCAGGGAGATTGGTGTGAGAGAACACAATGTGAGATGTGTTTTGTTCCTACTTTCATTCACAGCTTTGGTGCCTTTTATCAAAGGCAGGTTCATAACAAGTGCTTTACTATCACCACTCAGGCTTTGATCCTGTTTTAACTATCAGATCAGTGCATTGTCTTTCGCTGGGTCCAACTTGATGCACGCGGCAACCTTTTAGACACTTCAAATGCTCAGCATTGGCAAAGTGTTGGACGCATTTCATGCATATTGATTCCTGGCTATGTTGTCCCAGGATTACTACTTTTTATTGTTGTTGTTGTTGTTGTTGTTTTTTTTAGTTACTTCAGTTAGCTTTGCATGCCTGGCAGTCACACAAAGTGGACAACCAGTAACCCCAGGGGTGGGAGAAGATTGCAACAGGTAGTAAATTATTCTAATCATAACTAGATTGTGATTGATTCAATACTTAACTGTGTTGGATTATTATTACTCTCAAGATTAATATTCTGAATTGGCCCAAACCCAAAATCAGCCAAAAATAGTGGTGCATGCCATTTGTTAAAAGAGAATAAACAAAATCAAATCAAATAAATAAAATGTACAATACATTTCAAAAGGAGTGAATCATCGTCATTTCATCTGAGCAGAGAGTTACAATTCTCATGTCAAAAATCTCACAGACTGGGTGAGCACCAGGCAGTGTCAGGAGCGAAGAGCGACATTTAGCGAAGAAGGGGAGGGGAAAACAACGAGACAACACTACACAAAACTGAACTTGTTCAAGCTGTCAAACTTTTTTTCTTTTCTTTTTAAATGGTGGAGGTAATTGAGAGGAAAATAAGTGGTTTGGATCCAAGCTGCACCTTTCAGAAACACTAAAGCTTTTTTTATGCCATCTCTCTGACCTCCTCATTGCCTCCTCTGTTGTATTCCTCAGAAAAGAGCTACACTGCATGCATAACCTTAAACTTTCTTTCTCCTTTGTTTTTCTTCTTGTGTTTAAAAAGTGCTATCTTAGAGGTTCAGCGCCATAAATCCACAAATCCACAAAGGTCTATCTGCTGCTATGGCACCGCCATATTATCCATATGGCCCTCCCAGAGTCAAAGCACTGGTGAGAAGCTTGCCGTGTCCTCTTTTCATCTACTATTAGGTCCAACAGGAAATTACCATATTTGTAATCCACATCTGTCTCAGTTACCCTGAGTTAAAAATGAGGAGAGAGAAAAAACACCCAGAATCATGGATTGGCTTTTACATATTCAGTCATAATAAGTTATAATATATTAAAATCTGCCTTTCCCCCACCTACCAACTACCCCTGCCCACTGCATATTACCCACCCACCACCCCAAACTGAACACCCCACAATAAATGCACATTGTTGTAGTAAACTGCCTTTAAAACCATCTTTGAAGTTTTAGGGAGAAGAATTTCTTTTAAAACTCATGTGAGTTGCTTCTGCTTGGTTTTGATTAGAAAAAGGAAAGAAAAAACAACATCAGCAATATGGTGTCATTAGCTAAGAAGCCAAAATCCATTAGCTTAGGTTAACTAAAGCCTCTATAGGAACTGGATAATGAACTGGGTAGCAGCACAGTTTCACATTCTGATCCTAAAAGGCATTTGTCCAGTAACGATCTTCATGAGAGGGTGAGCTCACTTTAGTCACCGTTTGCGGGTGGCTCCGGCTTTCCAGGATCAGCAGTGAGAGACTGATGGAGGTCCGTGAGGTAGCATTCCGCCTTAAAACCCCCCCGCTGATCCATAAGCAGATCACCCCTTAAATTGTCCCTTGGCAAAAAAGAGGGTTAAAGAAGCCTCCTGCATCTGAATATGAATCAGCGTATGCAGGCGATGTGCACCTCTGACCCTTTGCAAAGTTGTGACTGGGCTTCAGAGACAGACCATAATAAGTGCATGATGCATGGGCAACAATGCCGAGGTAACCTGGTCTGTAAGCGCCAGACTCAAAATGTAGTGCAAAAGAAAGCAAAACAAATCAAACGAAAAGATAGAGGAAAAGAATTCGATTACAGAAGTCAGTAGTGTCCACGAAACTCACAAACATGCATCCCTGAATGACTTTTGTGTCTTCTCGTTCATAAAAAGGATGGGTTATTCTTGCTTTTCGTCCGCACGGAAATTAGCAGAATATTTGAAGGAGGAAAGAAAAGGATTTTCAGTTAAAGCGTCATGGCTACCTGGCAATAAGAGAGTGGGTTTGATTCCGAACCCTAACTGAGGAATATCAATGGTACAATTAAACCTTACAGTTGCAATTTTGAGCTAGTACTTGATGAGCAAGAGGGGAGTGATAAAGGGACCAATTTGTCACTTCTTCTAAGGAGTTAATTTTCAACCTTCCCCTTATTTTTCCCCATCATTATCATATTAATCCAAAGCAGACTGCATTTATAAGCAGCAATGCTTCAGTGTATCAAGTTCATAAAAGACGGGAGAGAATTTTTGGGGGTTGGGGATTATCAGCATGCGTAAATAATTGTCATTTACCTAATGTCTTTAGCTGCATTTGTTAAGCCCCTGAATAGAAAAGCTGAACAAATGCTTCTATAGCATCGCTCAAATGACACTAGTTAAGAACCACCACAACCATTAGTTGTGTCTCTCCAGTTTAAGAATCCTCCTCATATAATCCCTGCATTTGTGCTCACCCAGATACTGCAAAGTAAATTGGCACAAATAAAGCCCCATCCATTTTCAAATTACTTAAGTCAGTTGAGGTTTACATGTGTAAGTCGTTTAGTCGATCGGTTTGAAATCATCATCGATTTCTTCTTTTACATTGTCCTTGAGCTCGGCAGCTGCTAGCGATGCACCGTCGCCTCGTGGGGTTGCAGTGGGCGTGTTCTCTGACTCGTTGGGAAACTCCTGGCTTCCTGCTTCCATCTTCATCATCAGCTTGAGCTTCTTCTTTGGGGGGTTCTTCAGGGTCCCCATGCGCTCCTTGACCTTGTACTCCAGGGTGCTGTGTGGGATCCCATACATGTTCTGTGCCTTGGACACGCTCATCTTCCCGCTCATCACTACAGCTATGGCCTCCTCCAGAATCTCACTGTTGTACTGGCGATATCGGCCTCTCTTCTTCCTTGGCTGCTTGGAGCTTGGGTCCCCTTCCACATCTGAGATGGAGTACGCCGGCCCAGAACTTGAGTGGTCCAAGTCTGAGTTCCAATATTCAGCAGCCCCATCCAAGAGGCTCCCAAGGCTTCCTCCTCGGCGGTTCTGCTTTGGCAGAATGGCTCTTAGCTTCCGGCTCAGAGTGTTGTCCCCATGGCCACCACCCCCGACCCCCATTGCACCGTAGCCATAAAGCTCAGAGGAATGGGAATCCCAGGAAAGATCCATGCCCCGAACCTGGGGGATTTTCAGGTCAACAGGCGGAGAGTGGCCTTGGTCTCTCTTTCCTTCAATGTGATGATGTTGGGCCTTGGAAACCTGATTGTGGTGGTGATGATGAAGGGAACTCTTAAAGGTGAAGGCTCCGTGGTGGTTGTGGTGTTGATGCTCCAGGAATGTAGGCAGGTCTTTGAGGTCGCTCAAAGCTCCACTGGCCTGCTTCAGCTTCATTAGGCTTTCAAGGTGAGCCTTACTTCCCCAAAATGAAGAAGAACCCTTTTGGCCAAGCAAGGAATGGGACTGGCTATGACTGAGCAAGCCAGCTGACTCTAGATTAGACAGTGAAAGAGCAGGAGGTTGACTCAGAAGGCGATGCTTCTGGCTGAGAAGCTCTTCCTTAATACGCAGCGAGCGGGCCAGTGGGGGCTTGAAGGAGTTAGAGTTGACGTAGTTCTCCCTCATTGCGTCCTGCAAACTTTTCTGCAGCAGCCCATCCTCCTCTTCCGCCTCTGGCAGGGTATGATCTGCTTTGATTGAAAGTCTGGATGGAGAAGAAGACGAAGAAAAGAACTTCAGGAACACAGTTCTTCATATAAGATCAAAGTTATTTTTAAGACAGGGGTAGATTTGAAACAACTGAGGTAATTACAAAAAGAGAAAAGAGCAACAGACCGTATCTTGCACTTATATGAACTGATGCTTTAATACATACAGTATTGAGTGATTAATTAAAGCTAAAACTGACAACCTAATAAAACAAATCTTTCACATCTTTTATGCAACACGTTTTCTTTTTAAGCAGAACATTTGCTGTTTCCCACATTATTACTGAGCATCAATTAGCTATTTGCAGTTTCTGCAGCTGCATTTAATATAATGTAGCACAAGGATGCATGGCATTATAGTTTTTTCTTTGGTCTAAATAAATCTCAATTGCTGCTTTTTTATGTAACCCACTGCATGAAGGTGGTTTAATTTTGCCGTTACCAACAGAACTGAATTGTATTTATATTTCTACAGCAATAACCAGTTGCCTTCCATAGTCTCTCCTTGCATGAGACATGGTAGTCAGATGTTAACTAACAGATGCCAGGGTTGGTAAATAGTTGCTGTGATGGAAATCCTTGTTCTAATCATTATTATTTAAGTATTACTGCCAGCTGCAGTGAAGGTGGAGTAAGTCTGGACCACAGGGCAAGAGGTTCTCTAGAGGGGAAGTTGAATGATATCAAAGACTGTCACAATAGAAACAGGCTAAGCCTTCTGATAAACACGGGGCAGGAAGGGCTGACTGGCCTGAACATGACCTCCAAAATTGTTTCAAATATATGAAGAAATAATTAAAAATAATAAACATGCCAAAATGAGCTGCCCAATGTTAGGTTGGTTGTTAACGTACCTGGACGATGTGCCCAAATAAAGGATACGGCTGTGACTGCACTTTTTGAGTAGGAGAACACCAACAGATGCCAAAGAATATTACAGGTATCAGCCACAATCATTGGTTGTCATCAAACTTCAAAGTCCATATGAGTGCGTTATCAATTAGAAGCACTATTCACAAATAGAAGATTTGTCCAGATACATTTCAGGATAACAGCAATCCACTGGTAGTGAGGCTCATAGGCCTGGTGCCTCAGGACTTTTGAGACATTTCAATCCTTAGAAGGAAGACCTATCCTCATAGGCTTAAGGTGCTGTTTCTAACTGTGTTTTAATCGTGTTGTGCAAATACTTCACCAAGGTTTACCTGCTGGGCTATAGCCTTGTTTGTCAGCAGGAAATCTGTTGCTATGTTAGGGTAAGAAAAAAAGCATCTGAGTGTCTGTCAGTTTTCACCTAATATTTTTCTGTTATGGTAACCTTGATCGCAATATCATTCATATTAGCAACAAACACAGGTGATCAGACAGGAACCAAGACTATCACAGAGTATTTGGGGTAAAATGAGGAAGCCGTAAACTAAACTAAAACCTGCACACCACTACATCATGCCCAAATTTAACATAACATCTCAGTGCAGCAGTTGCAGTCGCATATGCTCTCTGAATCGAACCTGTTTCAATCCATATTTGACCTACAGTACAGATCAAAGGTTTTCATGAAAATGACCACCGCAATTAGCATAAATTGTTTATTCCCTCCTGACGCACACATGTACACACATGATTCTTAACACAACCTCAAGGAAAATTATGTTCATCAATAGTTAACAGAATGCAATGCAAAGAAAGTTCACTAAGACACTGACAAAGGCTTCTTTTCTGCAGGACAAAGTCATGTTGATATTGCTATTGTAACACTGTTGGGTTGATGAAACAAATCTATATAAACTTACCATTAAACTAATGATAGTTCATTAGAGTAAAATCAATAAGTGAAGAATAAAAGTGGAGAAATGTGGAGAAACTGAATATGGACACAATCTCTTCAAGACCTGCAGTCCTGTGCTCAGCTTTACAAAGAAAGTGTATTTTCTGTAAAATCAAGAATCTAACTGACTTTAATTCAACTGAATTCAGTTTTATTTATATAGCGTCAAATCCCAACTGCAGTCACCTCAAGGCGCTTTATATACGGAGGAAAATTATAACAATCAAACATCCCCCTTTGAACAATCAAATGGCGACAGTGGGAAGGAAAAACTCCCTTTTAATAGGAAGAAAGCTTGAACAGAACCAGGATCTGGAAGTGGCAAACATCTGCCATGACCAAGGGACAAAAAACACAGTTTAAAAGAGAGTCAGAGATTAATAATAACTAATTAATACATTTATCATCAGAACAATGTAATAATTCATCCAGTTCAAGATCCATCGCAATTCTCGCCCACAAATTAACAAATGTGACCTTTTTCCCATTAGGCTTTCATTGTGGTGAAGTTCGGTTAAATTCTGACCAACACTCCAGGAGGTGGAGTGATTTTTGTGAACTGTAGACAGAGAGATTATGCCTCGCCACAACATACCCTTATGAATCCTTTGGCTGGATGAACGAATAGCATAGTACCGAATATAAACACAAACTCTTTTTATTGTCTACATGATTTAAAATCTTTAACATCTGAGAAAGATTTACTAGATTCTCGATGAAAGAAACACACTTTCTTGATCATCTACATGTTGTAGCTGTGCACTGTCACCTGGGGGCAGTGTCAAAACATGTGGAACAACTATGGACTACTCTTGCGAAGTAGCCTACAGATCAGTGTTTGTGGGCTGCTGTTAATCTTTTAGCTTAGCCCCTGCCACGGAGAACACAGCAGTCATAACAGACAAAGAGATTTTTGCAGTGGACTGAAACTGAGTGTTAAAAACTGTGCAAAATATTTGCTTTGCTTCTTCTGTGGGCTTCTTTAAATTTCTGATTATTTTTTCACACTTTTTCTCCTTCCTGTTTAAACCTACTTTTCAACCAGTCAGCATTCTTCCTACACAGAGCATCATCACTGTCAGCCTACACGCCGTTGCTTTTTTGAAGTACCGCATGCAAGCACGTCTGTGTTGGTTGCATACCCAAAAATCCTGCGTAGCCAAAAAACCTACGCAAAACTGACACATACGTGGTTCCATGAATTACACTTAATGGTGGTGGGAGCAGCAAGACCCCAACAGAGACACAGACCAGGAATCAATGACAACAGTTATGTCACAGAAGGGAGGAGGGCTTGGGGTGGATGTGGGTTGAAAAGTGGCTTGCAGATGTGCAGCAACTGTGGGCAGCTGATGAGTGGAAGGGTGTCAGCTAAGTGCCAGCCAAGGAAAAGTGAATCTGCCAGGCTTAAGGTTGAGCCTGACTCTGTGGCCTAGCTGAACTAACAGTATGGGAGCATCACACAGCTCTTTCTCAGTCACTTTTTATTTATTTAAAAAAGGCACTATTTAGTGATGACAGCCATATCGAGTATGCATAACAAGATAGAGTAGTGCAGTCATAACAAAATCTGATGACCTATAATTTACCTGTTAACAGCTCCCCACTTTCAACCCAAAGTGAATACAGGTTCATAAACTGACAGATCTACTCTGCAGCTCCTTTTCACGAAAATAATCTATTGTGAATGCATGCAGTATATACTGATGGTGCAAATATTGACTGTACAAAACAGAGGAGAGATTATGCTTTTTATTTAGATGTGTTTCATATAGTGGTGAAGGTCTATATTAAATATTGCTATAGGTTGAATAATGAGGCCAGTACAGTTTATTTACAAATAATCTCTATGATCCAAGAGCTCAGTTTGTCTCTCTAAATTTCAGACAGTTTGGGGTCTTTGGGCTCTGTGTGATGTCAATTCCCTAATATTCTGATCTCAGCCAGACAGCTTTGGCTGAGACCGCAGCGTTCCCAAGCATTTGATCTTCCAACCTTCTGTTTGCAGTAGCAGCCAATCAGAAGAAAGCTGGCATCATGGAGAGGAGCTAAAATTTCTTATCTCACATAAAGTGAAATGAGAGCTCATTATATCTGCCACAGAGAGGGTGCTGCACCACAAACTTCCCTGTGATTACTTTGGTTGACAGCCGTTTGCTGCGATTGCTCATAGTTTGTATGGAAGAGACTGACCAGTCTGGAAACACTCGCCACTTACCCTCGGAGCTGCAGTGAAACTTGAAAAATCACGATGGAAACCAGAAACATTTGCTTTAAAAGTAACGTTTTTCTTTATCACTGCAACCCACACATTTCAAAAGATGCTGTTTCACTGCTGGTTGAATAGCTTGTGGGTATTTGCACTAATTTCTACGCTGGAGATCATCAACCGGTCACAGAATCCGCACTTTTCCTTAGCACCTGGAGGTTGTCAGATGTTTGGCAACCAGTCTCTAGGCATGTGTGACTGGAGCCTAAAGCCACTTTAGCAGAGATCAAGAAAAAATATGGAGCTGTAATTGAGTTTAATAGGGTTATTTAAGTTAAATCAAATATTCATTAATTAATAAGTATTTGGTAATCAATATGGTTGACAGCCATAAAGAGACTGCCAAGTTTTGTCTGTGAAGTGTAGTGCAAAATTACAACACTGCTTTATTTCTTTCACCAGTGCTGTTTCAGGCAAATAACTGAGCTGCTTTGGTTAAATAGACTAGTTTGCTTTCTTACCCTTTGAGTCCAGGTTTGGGGGTGAAGTTGAGCAAAGCTTTGGGGCTGCCTGCACTGTGGTTCTTCTTTGTGGAGAGGTCTAGGACGCCATCTGAGAATAAACAAAGAGGAGAGAAAAAAAGATTAAACACAACTGACCTCCAGCTCTATTCAATACACTGCTTTTCTTTGGAAAGAGATGTAACCCTTACTGTAAATGTCTGTATATGTCTACAATTACATCCTCGAAGAAACTATTTCAGAGGGAGACAACAGTGTTTTTTTATATTATTTTCTCTATTTCCGATTATTAATTTGTCTGTAATGCAAAACACAAAGTAAAAACAAAGAAAGGAATCCACCTGTGACTGAAATTGAATCTATTAGGATTCCCACATACACAACCACCGAGCATTTGAAAATGTAAAAAGCAGGACAAATTTGTTACCTGCATATGAAATCGTGATATTTTCAGACCTTGCACGATCCATTTTCTTTTAGTATACTATGCATTTATATTTTCTCCTCTTCAGTCCAGTTTGATTTTCATCAGACATGTTTAATGCCCTCCTATAGAAGGTTTTGGATTGCAATCAAGATTTGATTAACCTGAGCAGGAAGGCAGTTGCCATGACGACCATACCATATTCCAGAGTGAATATGAGAAATCACTAAGTATATATGCTATGTGCGTGTGTGTATATATATATACATATATATATGTATATATGAAACAGCCAACATTATTTGGAAGGTTGGATGTGTCTTATAAATGAGCCTCTTCACACTGCATATCACGGTTTTGCATTTTATACATTCATAAAATATTCCATCACTGTTTGATCGATCGGCATGAATGTTAAAAGCTTTGGCATCTGCTTGTGTCTGTATATAAAACCACCCGTTTTTCCCCCATTTTTTTCGTTAAATACCAAAAAAAGAAAAAAAGAAAAAAAAAGATGTTCTGTGTGCATCAGAACAGGTGGAATCTGTGTGACACTCGCAGTGAAGTCCTGGAAATACTGTGGCTACATGCTGAGTGTGAAATCTCAGTTTATTTGTCAATATGTTTAGTTGACACACACGTGGAGAAAAAACTGATCATCCTATGTAGTGACATAAAGTAAGCAGAAAAAAGTGTAAGCTGGCACATTCTGTTATTTTTTTATTTTATTTTCAAGAAAATCTGTTCATCTTCAAAGCAGAAAATGGTAAAAAAAAATATGTAATTCTGATCCTTTTAATGACAAAGACAGACTGATTACATGATCTATCTATCTATCTATCTATCTATCTATCTATCTATCTATCTATCTATCTATCTATCTATCTATCTATCTATCTATCTATCTATCTATCTATCTATCTATCTATCTATCTATCTATCTATCTATCTATCTATCTATCTATAAACATATCCATCCATCCAGGGGAGCCTTGTCAGGGTCGAGGGGGATCTGGAGTCTATCCCAGCTACCACAGGGCGAGAAGCAGAGTACACCCTGGACAGGTCTCCAGTCTGTCGCAGGGCTAGCACATACAGACAGACAAACATTCACACTCACATTCACACCTATGGCCAATTTACAGCTACCAATTAACCTAACCCCACTAACTGCATGTTTCTGGACTGTGTGGGGAAGCTGGAAAAGAAATGCCTCGGCCACCCAATCACCGTGCCACCGTGCTACCCATATATAAAAAGAGTCCAGACTGACTGTGACAATTACAGTATGCACACATGCACACATACTGTAATTCTTGCATATGCATATTTTATACAGCATTGGCATGACAAGTTTTTAACAAGGAAGCAAACTCTGTACGTGTACACATTTTGGCTCCTAAATTAATCTTTAAGAAAATGCACTGAAGTAAGAAAACGCCCAGGGATAACAACCATGATAAATTACACATAACAAGTAACACTAATGAGGTCCTTCTCCAAGCTAATGAACATTTTAATTATCATCGACCTCTACATTAGCATGCCTTGTTTTTACAGGATGCATTGATGGTGGTATTACGAGCTCCCCCGTGTTCCTGTATTAAACTGTCATAAGACAAAAAAAGTTACCTCATCAACATGAATATTTATGCAGCAGTTCTAATCAGATTACGAACTGTTACTCGTATGTTATGATATTAACACCCAGCGAGCGTCAAATGCCGGGCAGATTTTTTTGTTTGAGTGACTCTCAGAAGGTTGTCTAAATTAGTCGGGAATCAAAACAAAAAATCCTGCTGAGAATCTGTACTTTGTTTCAATGTCAGATGGACAGAGTAGGGCTGGGGCTGACAAATAGGAAGACATTAAAACGACTAAGGTTACAAACCCTTCAGATTTCTCTTCTATGTTTCACCCTTAAATGCATTTAATAGCCATTGCATTTATTTAAATTGTTACATTAACACTCTGGTCAAAAACATAAGCTTCTAGTAAATTCAGTACAATAATGAATTTCTGACAAACCTTTAAGCAAATGTTAAATTACACTTAGGGTTGTTAAAAAGAAAAGAAGTTCTGATATTTATTGATAAGTAAAATTAGTGTTGAATTAAATACCCATTCACAGAAGTACTGATACCAACAGTGCTGTCTTCACTTCCTTCAGCTGACACCCAACCCCACACAGCACTGCTGGTGACAGACAGGCACAAAAGGCCCTGCCCTCACTAATAGCTGACAAGCAGCACAACTTGCGGAAGCATCCTAAAGACTGAGACAGCGATCTTTATGAGACGTTTCCTGGGGGCAGTAAAGCTCCCATTTCAACAACACAGCTATCATAATTGTTAACCTGGGAGGTGTGCATTGTCCTGTTAGCAGTTTAACTATTAGCACCTGATCACCACATTAGGTGATACGATTAAGGTAGTGGGTTGCACCCAATGATAAAACCATGATGTTAACATTGGAGCTGTCCTACCAGTCTGAAACAATGATGGGCAGTCTTGATTTAACAGGATAACACAATTCTTTGAGTCTACATAGTATTATGCCAGATTGTCAGATTGAAACTGAGAAAAGTCTGCCAGCAAGTAGACAGAGACAGCGCAGCATAATGTACCGACTCTATTTGATTAGCAATGACATACGTTGCCAAGTCACCACAAGCACAGGAAATAAGCATCAACAATGGAAGGGAGCGACCAACGTTTTCCTAGGTGTCTACACCGAGTTTGAAATTCTAGTATTATGGCAATCCTAATTACACATGTGCATGCTCACGATAAACATGGACACAGTTTCAAATGATGCTGTCAGTATATTTAAAAGTAATCAAAGTGAGCCAAAAGACTGCGCTTAAGTTAAGATTGCTCTAAGACATTTTTTTCTTTATTACTAGTAGTAGTATGGGCTCTTCAATAATGATACCTTGATAAGTATTAGAGACAATTTTCTATTTTAATATTAAGATATTTTGCTGATGACATTTGGTGCGTAATCAGCAGATTGGGTAAAAACGTGTTCTGTGGACATGTAATGCTCTAATAGCGGCACAATTAGCTAGCACAGATATTAATGGATAAAAAAAGTGATGCACCTTTAAATGAAAACATGATTTTCTCTGTAGAATTTATGCCTGCCGTGTGCTTCAGCTGACAATCAGCCATCACACAGATGTAACATAACACTGATTAGTGAAGCAAATAAAATGTGTCTCTTTTTCTTCTCCGGAAATTACATTTGCTGTGTAACTGAAACGATTCCTGAGCCCACATTGAGTCAGAATCACTTTAAAAGGCGTTTCTTGTTTGTGCGTGTGGGAGAGAGATAGCTCGTGACCATGAGGTGGATCTAAATGCCTACGTCTCTCTGTTGTAAAAATTAAGTAAGCTTACTGTAAGCAGATTCTAAAAAAGCTGGTATTAAAGTGGATCATCGGTCACACTGTGAGGGTTGAGGCAGTGAGCTGTTGGTTCACCCCAGCAGCCTGCTCGCTGATCAAACTGCAGACACCCTGCTGGGTCAGTTTGATTAAACAGAGATTGAGCCCTGAGCTACAATTCCAGACTTGGTAAAGCACTGCACATGCAGGCTTGATTCGAAGCATGTCTTTTCAGAGATCGCGGTCAGGAAAACCGTGTGCACACTTTTAAAGTTGAAGATGAACAATTATTCGCAGCAAGTGACGACAACTAAAAATGAATTGATGCGAATCTGATGTGCAAGTCTGCTTCAAATGTTTGCTGTCAGTGTGAGAAATGAGAACATTAATCATGGACCTGAGCCAGGCAATCAACCCAGTGTGTGGTTAATACTTTGGGAAAGACTAGAACAAACACAAAGTGTCATACTTATTAGTTAAAATTTGAAATGTGTTTTTACATTTATTTTTTTCACATTTCCGCTCTATTTTCATTTTTTTATATATATCTACATTTTAATTATTTTAATAATGGCAGCCAACTCTAAATTTGAATTACCAGTGCACTAATAAAGAATTATACATTAATTACAATTTTTGTTTAAACACTCTTGTCTGATTCTTTTTGTCGTCTGTGCACACTGGTATTAAATATGGAGCAGGAAGTATTTTTGCACAGCAGACCTGCCTGTTTAAAACAAACACTGAGCCAAATTTGAGGCTTTCATATTTTTGGTTGGTAAAAGGCGCAAAAAAAAAAAAAAGCCCACATGTTGGTCAGAAACGTGTGTGTGTGTGTGTGTGTGTGTGTGTGTGTGTGTGTGTGTGTGTGTGTGTGTGTGTGTGTGCGTTGCTCTCACCCTGCTGGCTGGGCTCTGGATCAGCCTGGTTCTTCTTAACGGTGAGGTCCAACGGGCCGTCCTGGTCGGCCATGAGAAGCTTACTGAGGACGGGATTCTGTGCAGAGGCAGCAGCCGTACCTCCTCCTCCTCCCCCCCCACCATTACTGGCTCCCGTACTGTTGCTGCTCTGGGTGCAGGCGAGTGCTGAGGCAGCAGCAGCGGAGGTGGGGCTGAAGCATTGTCCCGGGGTCGGGGATGGAGAGGAGGAGGCAGATGATGGAGGAGAGTTTGGCGCAGCCAGTGGCCCGGGCGGAGAGCTGGGGGCCGGGGCCAGAGACACCGCTTTTGGCAGGCTTTGGTCCTTCATGGTGCCGTTGGGCAGGGGCGGGTCGTCCTGAGTAGTTTTTGAGGTATATTCAGCAGCGAACTGGCGGATCATTCGCTGCATGATCTCACGAGCCACTAGAGGAATGTGAGGGTCTGAGAAACTTGGGAGGTCTGGAGAGGAACAAAACAGGAGAGCAAACATGTTAGCGTCCCGTCCTCCAGGAGTCTGCTCAGCCGATGCTGCTCTCAGCAGCTTATTTATACCATTTCATCCGAAAATGTAATCCTGATGCTTTGCTCAAATAATCACTTGGAATAAGGGCTTAAACCTGCCTATCGATGTTGGAAACACCATGATATCAGTTTGTGCAACAGATTACTGCTTGCCATTATTCAGCTGGGGCTTCCATAACAATTCCCTTCCCCAGGATTCCTTCTTGTTTTCAGTCTTACGCTCCACACTATGTCATCTCTAAACACTGTATTTCAGAGCAGTTTGTCCAGGATTTGATCTTGCAGCAGTGTGTTCACTTGAATATATTTGCGCAGGCAAACAGCCCACATGGTGCAGACACCACAGCCTCTCTATTCACAATACCAACAAGTATTTGATCTGTCACTTTGACAACAACATAAAATCAGCAGTTTTTATTTTTTGTGTAGTTTTTCATCAAACCCATATTTTGAATGATTTGGATTTTCAGCATCGTTTAACATTTGCTCTTTTTCTCCATTTTAGATCAAAACTGAATATTTTTGCGTTTTCTGATTTTAGATAAAATTAGCAATCTGAAGATATTGGTTGGAGCTCCTACAATCTTTATACATAATAATAATCTTCAAACATAATGTGTGAAAATACAAAATGCAGTGTTTAAATTATTAGTTCATTTATTAAAATGAAAAAAAAATTGACCCCATCCCAATCAGCATGACAAGTTTTTACTTTACTTACTACAAAGTATTCTGCAAATGTTCCAGGTTTGGCAAATAGGAGGAATGATTTAATATTCTGAAAATCTGAAGCAACATTTATCCCCCAGACAACAACTCCTGTCATCTACAACTTTACAACTGTGTTTGACAAAAATTAGTCAAATTGTACTTAAGGGTAGTCGAAATTATTACATGCTTGGGTTTCACCTCCTGTTACTGGTTTCTGTAAGATTAAGCAACACTAAAGCAAACTAAATCATCTGCTTGAGTTTCTTTTTGTTTCATAAATAAGGGCATTTTGGCTTCCACATTTTTTAAAAATACAAAAATACTTGAGACACGAGTAAAAAATAAATAAATAAAAAAATCCAGGTAATGAAAGAAACTAGAAACAGAAGTCATATTTCTACCATATTAGTTTCTCATCATTGGCTCCATGTTAAATTTAGAACTGAATGTCCTGAGAGATCAGTCCCGTCACATCTTAAAGAACAAATAGTACCACATTATCCCAACACAGCACTTCTCCCTCCTCTCCTGGCAGCCTGGATACTTTTGGGATTAGGCTTCAAACTTTCCTTTTTGATAATGCTCATTGGCCCTTAGTTGTGCTGGGGACTTCCCATGGTGCACTGGGCATTCCTTGTCCACTTTTATGTCAGTACTGCTTATTATTAAATTTCAAATCAAAATCAAATCAAATCACTTTTTATTGTCACATCACATGTGCAGGCACACTGGCACAGCACATGCGAGTGAAATTCTTGTGTGCGAGCCCCACAAGCAACAGAGATGTGCAAACACAACAACACAAACAAGCAAAATACAAGAATGGCCAACCTGAAACTAATAAATATATGTACAATATATAATAGTGTATGCATTTCTGGATGTGTATACTAAATATTTTCCTACGTGTGTGTGTGTGTGTGTGCGTGTGTGTGTGTGTGTGTGTGTGTGTGTGTGTATACACATTTTTACAAATTAAATAGTAAAAAAATAAAATAAAATAATAATAATAATAATAATAAAATATATAAAATATACAGAGTTGAATATGTGCAAAACAGTGGCATTACTGTACAGTATGGAGTGCATAATGTTGAAGTTCCAGTAGTGAAGCTGAGGTGTCTATGACGTGTTCAGCAGTCTGATGGCCTGATGGAAAAAGCTGTCTCTCAGTCTGCTGGTACGGGACCGGATGCTGCAGAACCTCCTTCCTGATGGAAGCAGTCTGAACAGTTTATGGCTGGGGTGACTGGAGTCCTTGATGATCCTCCCCGCTTTCCTCAGGCACCGCTTCCTGTAGATGTCTTGGAGGGAGGGAAGCTCACCTCCAATTATCCGTTCAGAGCACCGCACTACTCGCTGGAGAGCTTTGCAGTTGTAGGCGGTGCTGTTGCCATACCAGGTGGTGATGCATCCAGTGAGGATGCTCTCAATGGCACAGCGATAGAAGGTCCTGAGGATGCGGGGGCTCATGCCGAATCTTTTCAGTCTCCTGAGAAAGAAGAGGCGCTGCTGCGCCTTCTTCACTGTTTTGTTTGTGTGTACTGACCACGTAAGATCCTCAGCCAGGTGTACGCCAAGGAACCGGAAGCTGCTCACTCTCTCCACAGCAGCGCCGTTGATGGTGATGGGAGTGTGTACTTCTCTGCACCTCCAGAAGTCCACTATCAACTCCTTTGTCTTTGCGACGTTGAGTGTGAGATGGTTGTCTTGACACCAGTGGGTCAGGGCGCTGACCTCCTCCCTGTAAGCCGTCTCATCACTGTTGGTGATAAGACCCACCACTGTAGTGTCGTCCGCAAACTTCACAATGATGTTGGAGCTGTTAGTGGCTGTGCAGTCGTAGGTGTAGAGTGAGTACAGGAGAGGGCTCAGTACACACCCCTGTGGAGCACCAGTGTTCAGTGTGATGGGGGTGAGGTGATGCTGCCCAGTCTGACCACCTGGCGTCTGTCAGACAGGAAGCTAAGGATCCAGCTGCAGAGGGAGCTGCTCAGTCCTAGATCCTGCAGTTTCCTGTCCAGCTTCGAGGGAACGATGGTATTGAATGCTGAGCTGTAATCTACAAACAGCATCCTCACATACGTGTCTCTCTTCTCCAGGTGTGACAGGGCAGTGTGTAGTGTCAGGGCTATGGCATCATCAGTGGACCTGTTGTGGCGGTATGCAAACTGTAGAGGGTCCAGTGAGTCGGGTAGTGCAGAGCAGATGAAGTCCCTGACCAGCTTCTCGAAGCATTTGCTTACGATGGGGGTCAGGGCTACAGGTCGCCAGTCGTTCAATGAGGAGATGGTGGAGGATTTGGGTACAGGGACGATGGTGGCCATTTTGAAGCAGGCTGGGACTACAGACAGAGAGAGGGAAAGGTTGAAGATGTGCGTGAACACTCCAGCCAGCTGAGCCGCGCATGACCTGAGGACGCGGCCGGGAATCCCGTCCGGACCAGTAGCTTTGCGTGCGTTCACCTTCCTGAAGCACTTCCGCACATCCTCCTCAGACACAGTGTGCGCACTGACGTCATCCGCGGTGCGCACACTGTCCGGTCTCATGGTGTTCGCTGTGTCGAATCTAGCGTAGAATACGTTTAGATCCTCATACAGAGAGGCCGTGGTCTGCGGTGTGCTGGTTTTCCCTCTAAAGTCTGTGATCGTGTTTAGTCCCTGCCACATACTCCGAGGGTTGTCAAACTGTTGTTCCACCCTGTCCCTGTACTCACGTTTGGCTGCTTTGATCGTCTTCCGGAGTTGGTAATGTGCGTGTTTGTAGTCCGATGTGTTCGCGGAGGCAAAGGCGGTGTTCCGTGCCGCCAGTGCCGCGCGAACATCTCCGTTAATCCAGGGTTTTTGATTTGGGAAGGATTTGACTGTTCTGGATGGGACGACATCTTCCACGCATTTCCTGATAAATCCACAGACTGAGTCTGTGTATCATCAATGTCTCTGGCGGCCACGTGAAACATTTCCCAGTCCGCGTGATCAAAACAGTCCCGCAGCGCAGACTCCGATTGGTCCGTCCAACAGTGCACCGCCCTCCGGGTTGGAGCTTCCTGTTTCAGCTTCTGCCTGTAGGCGGGCAGGAGCAGGATGGAGCAGTGATCTGATTGGCCGAATGGGGCGCGGGGGAGGGCTTTGTACGCATCCTGGAAAGAGGTGTAACAGTGGTCGAGTTGCCGGTTTCCACGTGTGTTGAAAAGGATGTGTTGATGGAGTTTTGGTGAGACTTTCTTCAGGTTTCCCTTATTAAAGTCTCCGGCTGTGATAAACGCTGCCTCTGGGTGTGCGGTTTCCTCGCTGCTGATCGCGCTGTACAGTTCCCTGAGTGCACGGTCAGTGTCGGCTTGTGGGGGAATGTAAACAGCCGTAATAATCACTGCTGTAAATTCCCTCGGTAGCCAGAATGGCCGGCACTTAATCATCAGGTACTCCAGGTCCGGTGAGCAGAAGGATTTGACCGGGTGCACGTTCGCATAATCACACCAGCTGTTGTTGATCATGAAACACACACCACCGCCTCTGCTTTTCCCAGTAAGATCCTGTGACCTGTCCGCGCGGTGCACAGAGAACCCCGGCAGTTGTATTGCGGAGTCCGGTACTTTGTCCGATAGCCAGGTTTCTGTGAGGCAGATCACGCAGCAGTCCCGCATCTCTCGCTGGAATGAGATCCCTGCCCGAAGCTCGCACAGCTTGTTCTCCAGAGACTGCATATTAGCCAGTAATAAACTGGGTAACGGTGGTCTGTAAGTGCGCCGTCTCAGTCGAACCAGAACGCCAGATCTTCTCCCTCTGCGTCGGCGTTTGCGGCCTCCAGGGCCAGAGAACAAAGGCGTCTCAGGTGAGATGAATGGGGGGTCTGCAAACGGAGCGTCCGTGTTGCAAAACTTGAACTCCGGAAAGTTATAAGAAAGACCGTCTTTTATGTCCAGTAAGGTTTGTCGGTCGTACACAAGGAGACAAGTGCTGCTCGTGAAAAAATAAAGGAAAAGTAAAATTAAACACAGAAGAAAGCCGTTGCTTGGGGGAGCTCGCGACGAGGCTGCCATACTCGGCGCCATCTTGATCACTCTCTCAATTTTGTCTTGTTTCTATCATAGGTTTTGTTTTTGCACTTGTTTCTCTTTGCCCTCTTCTATCTTGCTTTTCCCCACACCAAGCCAGGGAAGGCGGCTACTGCCTGGTCATGTCAGAAGTCCTGACTTCTGTTAAAAGGGAGTTCTTCCCTACTGTCGC